GCCTATGTGGAATAGTTTTCAGTTTTAAATAATGTACGTGTTAACAGTAGTAAAATTAACAGTGCATCATGAAAACCTTTAAATCTGTGAATTGTTCGAAGTGAACTTATATGATTACTGTCTCTTGAACTTATATGATTATTGTATTTAAAATGAACAATTTTACTTTTGATTTTTCAGCTAGCATTGTTGATGTTGCATGTTTTAATAGACAGTCTAAATGGTTAAAATATCTTAGAAAACACAATCAATAAATCATATACATTATAACTGAGTAAAATGCAATAGAAAAGGAACCCCTTCACCATTTCATTTATAGAGAGCACAGAAAAGAGACCAAAGTAGCTAATATATTGCAATCGTGATTGGTCAATCTCTTGAAATGAGGTCAAATCATTCAAGCATCACTGGCGTTAGCTCAGTGGCGTTAGCTAATCTGGGGTCTGCAGGTAGCGTTAATAACGCCAAGGACGTGGCGTAGTGAGTGGCTTTAACAACGCCACTGTCTAGTTCACACACAAAGGCGTACGCTACGCCATGCTTAAGCCAGCCTTACGCCGTGTGTGTGAACATAGCCTTAGATCTGAGACAACAAGTAATGTGGGCTAATTATCTATGACATATGACAGGAACTGCAAAATAGTACAAATATTGTTATTGTTTAGATTTGTGACGATGCGTATATTACTGTAGTTTGTTTCTGATTGGTCAGAGAACATTTTCTGCACCGATGGATTCAAAGTTGACCCATAATGTAAACTTGACGGTGTTCAAAAATTATGAATATAATTTATACATATGCAGATGCTTCATTTCATTTCATTTATTTATTCAGACAAATGTCTTGGGACCCCAAAAGCAACAAAGTAACCATGACAAAAGTCTGGAGCCCCAGAAAACTAAACTTAACTACATTATTAGCGAGTATATAAAAATAAAAGATTAAAATGTAAAAAGTGAAAGGGCAAGACAATTAAAATTATAAAAAATTACACAGATTTTGCACACAATTGAATAAATGATAAAATTTCATAAGAGAACGATAAAACATTTATGCGTAAAAAAAAAATTGTTTATCTTCACAACGATGTCAAGCTGTCCCATATTACTTGTAGTCTCAGATCGAAAAATCACTAATGACTGGGTAATGTGTGAAACAAGTAACAGAAATTACTATACCTGTAAGTACTATAGAAGACATGTTATTAATATTGTTTACACTGTTGTAAGCACATATTTTCTAATAATGAAAATAGTACAGTACATGCATGCTTTCACTTACCTCTTCTGTAAGCTTTTCCAACATCAGATGTAGTTGTTCGCTACTAGGACGTTTATCATTCAATGCTTTATCTTGAGTTTTAATATCCTTTGAGGTAAGGTGTGGAACACCCCTACGGAAGTAAACATGCCCTATAGGGGGCACACTCTTTAGTCTCGCATTATCAACATGATTATACCAGTAACCACAGTTCTTGATGTCATTCTCACGCCATTCTTCCTGGATGATGTCATTGATTCTCGATTGGTCTTGAGTGACATGATAATCAGAGTCATTTTTATCATCCATTCCAAGTTCATTTCCGCTCTCGCAATTACTATTCCCATTACAGGTTATATCATCTGCACTTCTATTGTGGGGTTTTGCGATCATGCGCATCAGCCGATCGACATGAAGGATCTCATTAACCAACTTCAATAATTTGTCTTTCAACTGAAATTCTACGAAATTTGAAGAAATTACTGTTAACAGAGCATTAATTTGGCTCTCCTCTATCATGAAAACTGCTGGAAGTTCTTTGATATCCCTCCCTTTTTCCATTGTTCCATCATTTTGTTCCTTCCACAGATGAGCTGGGTAGATGTTGTGCATGCCATCTGTGAGACACATGAGCGAGGTGGTGCGGATATCTTTGTGTAGAGATTCTGATCGTCTACTGGACCGATTTCTACTCAATAGTTGCTGCTGCTGCGCCTGCTCTACAAGGAATTCCAGACCATGGCAAGCAAAGACTGGTTCTACTTGTAGTTTTCCAGTTGTTTGTCGGTGCACAGCAATGCGAGAAGCTAACAGTTCTGTAGCCTTTATAAATTAACAATATTAATAATATGGCTGAATGAAGCCACCAATTATACAATTTACCATTTGAGTTTAGGTGCATATTCATAGTTTACCTTAGCAATATTTAAGGAATTAGGGCCTATCTGAGATAATAATTTTTTTTAAATAATCTTAGATTTTCACCATAACAGTTTGCGAGTGGATCTGAATCGCAAAAACAAGCCTAAAATAATTACTGTACCAGGTCTATTTAATATTCACACTATTTAACAAACTTGACCCCTTTTTAATATATATTTGAGAACCTCTGGTCCCGCCTCTGGTCTCATTTTTCTATAATAATAAGGGCGGTACAGTTACACAGTAGGCTGAGTTAGACTTGCATTTATAAAAAATCATTAAATTAAATTCATAAAATCCATATAGGCCTAGTGAGTATATTGAATAGCTAATTTCAATAAATTATGTGAGCTTAGGCACGTTATGTAATATTCTTTACATATCTCAAATGATTACAATCTAGGCCTACCTTAATTTCGCGGTTGTTAACCAGGCCTAGGCACAGCCCATTCTGCACTGTCCGAACCTGGTTTAGGCCTAGGCCTAGTGGTACTCGGTCCCGAGTTGTACTGCATCGGCGCTTGTCAACAAACCTTTCAGGCGAAGTTTGTAACTTGTGCTGGAGGCCTAGGGCGGCGATTATTGCCTTACGTTGACTTCTACGTGCTTTCAAAATGCCTCTATAAAGCGCCGACGAGTGTAATAAGCTAGACTGATTCATAGTGGTGGTAGAATTGAAAGTTGTAACTTTATGCCTCAATTTCCCACTCAAGAAGAAGCACGCTTTACAATATCGACGAGTCCATGTTTTGGGTGTGCGTAAACTTTGACCTTGGTAATCAAAACAATGCTACTACGTTTTCACATGGGTTTCACACTAATAAATAGCTCGTATTCCGGTCCGCTTTGGTGTGAACCAGTGTGAACACGTTCAAGGAGGAGATATAATAAGTATGCATTGTTGTAGTCTCAGATCAGGTAGTTGCGTGGAAAGTTAATTGTTTCGTTTCATACTTATTAAGGCCTATATAAAGTACATCCTAATTTCTCCATGATTTCCCCCATATGACTCTTTACCTGCATGCATACCTATAGGTAGGTAGGTGAGAACGTAGTTTCATTGCTAAACATGAGACATAAAATAAAAGAACACGTATTTTTTCTAGAATGAACACATTCACCGCGCGTAGGCGGTCCTAATTAATAATATGCAACAGGTGAAAAGAAAGATGTCACCAAATTGATACAAAAATTGACTTTTCCAGAGCATTATATAAATGGCGTAGAATAGCAAATCACGTACCAGGTAAATGTCGCATGATCTTTTTCCAACACATTATTTCCAATTCAATAATAACAACAGGCCTATTTTTAATATATAAGTTATTTCAAGCATATAAACAAAAAGTATTATAAGAAAGAACACAAACAACCTTAGCAAACACAACAATAAGTCATAACAAAATTGTCATAAATATATAAATACAATATTAATATTTACTATTACATATAAATTGATATTTCAGTTCCAAAGTAAATTTATCTTTGGCTGCAATACCAGTTCACAAATAACCCTACTTTCTTTAGGATTATTCTGGGTGTATTTGACAGTTTGTGAGATGAAAGCATATGTAATGTAATAATCTAGTTCCTAGGCCTAGAAAGCCTACATAGTACTGTATTATTTTCAACCAATTTCTTAAAAGTCTGATTAAAGCCCACTAAGGCTACAATATGAGGGATATTTTACACAAAAATCGTCAACGCAGGTCATAACCATGGAAAACACAAATATTTTTATTTTTTTAAGTCGATATTTAAGTTACTTTTAAGATTATTATTAAGAAAATTCTTAATTTTGAAGCTTGATTTCCAACTTTTTTATTACGACTTTGATTTTTCTTGACGATCGCCCTCTCTTGGGCAGTACATGATTAGAAAACTGTGATTGGTTGCTAAGTATACAATAAGGTCTCGGTAAAATTATAATGTGGCGATTGTTGGTATTAAACAAATTTAGGCACTTTTTGAGATTAAAAACAACATGAATGGTTCTCTCATTACTTTACCGGTGAGTAAATTCCTCGTACATTCGCTTTACTAACAAAAATGCAGAATAGAGTTGGCATATTTAAAGTACGGCCGTGGTAGGCCTAACTAAGTAAGTACTAACTGTACCGAGGTACTAGGTTTGTCAGGCCTCTATATATGGGTGCAAGTACTGTCCTTGCTTCCAATTGGCCTGGCCTAGCTTAAGCCCATTTCATTGTGATCATTTTTGGAGTAGTCTTTGTTATTTGCAATTTGTAACGTTAAAATACTTGCTTTACCTAATGCTTAGTAAATTCACAAATAGCAAGTCACACAAATGTAGATCATGGATATCTAAATGCACACTTTATTACTGTGGATATTGTTCCAACGATTTTACACAAAGGTGTTGATTGCTATCTTAATCATATGCATTTGAAAAATATATTCATTACTCTTTCTCTAAGGCTACAAGAATGAAAGTTAAAAATTTCTATTCTGACTTCTTTTTTTTTTCTCAATAAAATACAGCATATTAATTTTTCTCTGCTTTTACTGATTAGTTTTAATATAACAAGAGCAATTTGACTTTTGACAGTTGAAGAATTTATTCTCATTTCATTGATATCATGTACCTATTATTCATAGGTGTTTATAGTCAATGCAAAGAGGTTGCTGCCAGAAACCTCAGTAACTTTTATTGTGAAATTGAATTAGAAATGAAGAACAATAATATAAGATAAGTTTTACAATTGATTAATTTTTATTTATTTCTGCAAGGTGATGGGACATTAGAATATCAGTAAAAAGGTAACAACAGTCAACTATCAAGATGGCGTTCATGTACAGTGACGGCGAATACATGCCGTCTGTGAGTGTTCTGAGCATGCACAGTCTGGCTGAACACAGTGAGCCAATCAGTGAGACTGAAGAAATTGAGAGTGTAAGTATATAACAATAATGCTGCTGCATCGAAGGAACTGTTACGTTAATAGTAATCAATTTTTTTTTTAAATTCTAAAATCCAATGTTGTGTATGAACCACTTTTATTGGATTAGTAAAGATATAATTTCTGTGAACAATAATATTTAATATTTAACATCATTAATTAACAGGTCTTGTACATATGAATTTGTTTGGTCCACTTAACTGCAAACGTGCAGCCGTGAAAATCACCCTGCAGGGGCGTACGGTGAAAAATCTAAGTGAGGGTCGAAACGAAAGCACAGGGGGCCAGCTGAACTCGGAGCAATTTAGCGAAGCTTTCAGAATTTGCGGGGTGCGTTATTTGTGAGTGAAGCGAGCATATTTAAAGGGCACTTTCTTTAAAAGGGGGGTCGACACCCCGACGGTACGCCCCTGCCCTGTCTCTTAACCATTAGCGTTTCTTCAAAAACATTGACTGATTTTACTACAAAAATAGTAACTCAAAAACGGATAACTTAGGATGAAACAGTTAATAGAAGGTTATAAATATAGCTATTGTAAACAATTTACAAAATATTTGTTTTCAAATATTTAGCTTAATCTTTTTTGGGTTGCATTACGAAAATATAAGCGATATTGGCATTTCAGTCTGGCCGTTATCACTGCCAGCCCAGGGATCCAGGCGCGTTCCATTTTGTGAACTGATGAATCTATGGTACCTGCTGTATCAACTTGTTCATCAGTTAATGAATATGCTTGATATTGGACTTATCTTATTTTTCCAGTGTTGTGAATAGATTGGAAATTAATTTTAAATAGTGTTCTCGAGTAATTGAACATTTAATGAAGTGCATTTTTATATACCCTTTTCCGATAATGTGCTGTGCGGCATGCTTAATCTGTTCATTTTTGCCTTTCGTACACGCATGCAGTATTAAAATTGTTTTGTTATGTGGTAAAAACAGCTTAAACAAATTGATATGTACATTTTAGTAAATCCTATATACTGTACTCAGCATAGATGATTAAATTGGCAGATAATCAATTTAAAGATTTTATTTTGTAAAAATGCTTGTAAATCAATAAAACTGTTGTTCATCTATAATTATAATTTGAAAAACTTGCAGTGGCAGATTCAAGGCGGTGCATAGCTGGCCTGTCCTCTTATTTCTAAAGTTTTCAAAAGTATAAACAAAAAATGGAGAAATAAAGAAACTCATTTAAATTTAAGTCTGAGAGTGCCATTTACAGCCATCTAGAGGTGCCATAGCATAAATGTTCTCACCTCAGCCCCACCATTGTTGGGATCTAGACCCTCCACCTCTGACAGTCCCTCCCTGCCATCCCCCCCACCCCATTTGGAATTCCTGGATCCGCCATTGACTTGTAATTGTACACAATTCACTTTTTAGCAGCCTTGTTCGGCTTCAACTTGAGACTTTATGGCGTATGTAACTTGATTTACATGTATTTTGATAATTTTAATGGATAGGTAAGGAGACTGCTAAAAGAAGGAAACAGAGCATTTAAAAGAAAGAAGTATGATAAAGCAATAAGTTGCTATAGCGATGCTTTAGAGATAGAATCTGACAACACGCAAATATTGACATGCAGAGCTGGAGCTTATCTTGAGACGAGGCAATATGAACTCTCAAAGAAAGATGCTGAGAACATTATAAAAATAAACCCAAACATTCCTCAGGTTAGTATGTGATTATTTTGACCATTTTAAATGAGGGTATTCCATCGTCATCATCATTAGCATTGCCATCATCATCATCACGCCGCGGCCATCATTGTCATTGCTGTTAATGTCGTCCTAGGCAACAACTGGAGGGTCATGCATGTTACTGATTATTTGCAACACTCAAGGTTTTTTATTATATAATTCTTTTTACAATTGTTTTTGTGAATGTTTTGAAAAATCTTGAAAAACAAGTGAAACAAAGACCACCTCAAGCATCAAAACAAATATAATATTTCTTCTGATATTAATAATAATTATATTAGTAATTAGTAGAATATACATAGCGACTACACCCTTTATAGAATTTTTTTTTAATGAAAAACCAATATAAGTTAAGTCTTGTCATGTGTTTGAATTGTTTTTAAGAAAAAAAAAATCCAGGAATTTTCAGGATTTGAAACAAGAACCCTGGGTTATGATGAGCCAAGAACTACATACTGTAAACTACCTGTTAGCAATCATGTTAAATCCATTGCAATTGTTAATTAATTGTAATTATATTTTCTTCAGGCATATTACTTGCAAGCTGTGTGCTTTGATCATCTGGACCAGCCAGCAAGAGCCATTAAATCGTTTTTAAATGCCCTGCAGCTTGATCAACATCATGAGCAACAATTAGCAGACAACATCGTCGTCGTAGCTGCCAACCTCTGCACACTTCCTCAAGACATCATTGCAAAACTTGAAGGTATATTTGATTCTAACACATTCTATTGCTCATAACTTGTATGCCCTATCTATCAAATATTATTTGACAAAAACATGTGATATGCCTATATATGTACATACAACAGTTTTTTATCATAGAAAAGACAGAGCTTTTTGGTACATGATTTATATTAGTTCATCATTACTGCAATGGTTTAAAGTTTATCACTTCACATTATGCAATGTATTTAATATTTGTAGGGTTAAAGCGATGTCCATACTATCACATTTTACAATGGCGGGTCCAGTGTGAGTTCAGGGGGTTCAGACGAGCCCACCCCTCTGTGAAGAAATGCAGAAAAATACTACTGGGTCTTGGCTACCAAAGCATGCTAACTTGGGCGTAGGCAGTCTTACCTATGTCTTCAATTAAATAAAATTAAAAATGTTGGATATTTATATCCACTAGAGATGGCGCTATTACTGTGACGGGCTAGGCAGATAGCTTAAATAAAGTTGTTGCTATGATGAACCCAAATAGTAGTGTAGTCTATTCTCGTTTATGGAGTATTTCTCCAGGGCTAATTGACATACCTAGAGACATTTCAATGGCGACGAGGTGGTTAAACGAATACCACATATACTGAGAGGGAGTGTATCGTAAATATGGCCCGTAAAAATCGATTTTGTGTCCGACATACTGAAATTAAATTTGGAAGCCGAGCCGACGACCCTCATGGAATGGATGGATCGTCACTGTTTTTGGTTCGATGTCGTAAACGTAATTTTTGTATGAAGGTTCTTCTTTAGGCCTATCGTTTCATCGATCCATGGAATAAAGACTAGGGCCTACATGTCCTACTACTCAATTTTAGAGTATAATATCATTGAATTTGTTTCTATGTTCACAAATGATATGCCTACCTAATGTAACATGAATAAGATAAAATTACCTGACCGTTTTCAAGAGGGGAATACCTTGAATTTTTAAGAACTTAAAAGTCATTAAAAACCCCTCAGTAGTCGGGAAAGCTTATTTCCGACCATCTAGGAATCAAAATGTTCCCCCTTTTTTTGGAAGCATTTTGAACTCCCCTCTTTCAAATCCTGGATCTACCCCTGTTTTATGTGAAAAATTTATGGGCATGGGCATGATGTTTTTATATCATACCCATATATGGGCAGATCAGAGGTATTAGTCACTTAAGGTTTTTATAGTGTTGACAGAGCTTTATATAATTTAAGTTTTTTTTGGTTAAATGTTTTTATGTGCATTTTTAGGGATAATAATGTTAGATTTGATGTAAATAACATTTTTCTTGATCTGATGTTTTTAAGTATGTTTATGCAAGCTTTGTAATTTCTTAATTTAATAGGAGACAATAAATTTTATCTTGAATCTTGAATAAGTAGATTGAGACTCAACAAACCCTTTTGTTTTCTTTCTAGAAATGAGCATCACTGAACAACTTCTTGCAGTTGGAAGACAACTACAAAAGTCAGAACATTACAGTATCAGCAATGATATTCTACTGGTAGCTAATAATAGATCGTCAGATGTTAAAGACAAGTTGATATCTCTCTACTACATTGGCAAGGGGTATGAAGGTATGCAGAACACATTGCAATCTATGGAATACTTGCAGAAATGCCTGGTGTTGAGTCTTCAAGAAATAAATCGTGAATTTGAGGCAGCATGTTACCACACCTTGGGACAGATTTACTTTGATAAGGGATACATACAAGAGTTTACAGTCAACTTTGAAAAACTACTTGCAGTTGTTGGGGACTTGGAAGATCTAAACGATAAAGTCTTACATGTTAATTTGCATGAAACTAATAATATTATGAATATGCATGAGCAACTTTGTAAAGCATACTCTGGTATGGGTGCTTATGACCGTGCATTGGTTCATGCAAAAGAATTGCTTGATGATGCCCTCTGTGAAAGCGATACTTCCAGGTTACAGAGGGTACACCTCTTGGTAGCTAATTTACATTTTGAAAGGTTGGAGTACACATTGGCACTGAACCACTATGAAGCTTATATGGCCACCTGTAAGAAACTCCATGATCGTGCTGGAATGGCAGCTGCATATGGTTACATTGGTGTTGTTTATAAAACGTTGTGTAATTATAAATTAGCGGAATCATACCTGGAACAACAATGTCGCATTTCAGAAAAACTTAAAGACAATGAATCACAAGCTATGGCCTTTTTTCATCTTGGTGAAATTGCAGATAAGACAGGGAAATTTGATGCCGCCTTGAAACATTTTCAAAATTACTTGCGTATATCTCGCCGACTAGATGAATTTGAAACAGAGGTGAAAGCATTTTTACGACTTGGAGAACTTCAGAAATCGTATGATAATTACCAACATGCTCGCTACTATTATGAACAAGCGTTGAATTTAGCTGAGAGAATTGGAAACAAGTCACTAATGAATGCATGTAAATGTAAAGTGGCAAGCATTCTTGTTACTTCCACCGAACTTAAAAATTTTGAAAAAGCAAGAGTGCTAATTGAAACTTGCATATTTGACTATATTGCACTGTTGAAAAAGTATAACACTGATTCCATAGCTTTTCCTGAACAACTCCAGTGCACAATGCTTGAAGCATTTGATTTGTTGCAGATAGTTTTACAAAAGTTATCAAGACCAGATGATGCTTTAATGTTTGCAGAAATAAAAAAATCTCTGATATTTAATGCACACGAATCTAATGCTCACTTTTATCGAAATGATAAGAATATGACATATTCCTTGCCAACCATCAAACAAGTGAACAAGATCTTAGACAAGCAGGAATCCGCTGTAATATTTTATGCAGTGACTGATGACTTTATTCTTCTTTGGGTCTTGAAGCCTGGTGAAGGATGTGTAAGGACTGAGCGGATTGAGCTCTCAAATGCAACAGCTCAAAACAAGCTAAAGAATGCCCTTGAAAGCTTGCATGTCCACCATAACAAACAAAATTCCACATATGAGACAGAGTACAGATCTCTGCCTCTTGAAGACTCGGAGACACTTTCTCTCCAGAATAAATTCCTTAGACAATCTACTACAAAGATGGCACAAATTGAGGATAGGCATGATGGCATGAGAGAAGAGATGACAGAACTTCAAGATACCTCTGAGAATGAGAAACCAACAAGAATCCTCTATAACTTGTTGCTACACCCAGTGTTGTCAGAGTTAAAAGAGTGTAAAGAATTGACAGTCATTCCAGACAAAGAATTGTTCCATGTGCCTTTTGATTCCCTTGAAGATTCAAATGGAGTTTGTTTTGGTGAAAGCTATCAATTGACAATGATACCTAGTCTTAATGTATTAAATCATCTTAACAACATCTTGACAAATCCACTTGGAGAGCAGTCACGACTAGAGTCTAGCCCCAAAGATGCAGGTTCAAGTCCTATATATCTTGATGATCGTTTCAGGGTTGTTGTGCCACCAAAAGACTATCCCTTTGCTCCTATTCATGACACTATCAAAGTAGCTCCAAAGATGTCGGATCAGAAGTGCGACAATCCTAAGCTTGTAAGCTTTGGTAGAAATTATTACGATGTTGTAAAGGTGGAAAAGGATGAGGTTCGTCAGTTTGAAAAAAGAAAACTCCAGCAAAACATTGAAAAAGGCAGCACTCTTATCTCCTCAACATGGTGTGGAAAGGAAGTGCCATCAGTTAAGAGCGAAACCATTAATGAATATCACCAGACAAGTGGTGGTAACCTCTCAGTAGTCATTGGTAGTCCTCACCTTCCAGCCAAGGCAAAGATCCATGGAAAGGTATTTTAACTTTCTGAATTATCAAAATATAACAAGATAGTCTGAGATTACAAACACTCGCCCTGTTGCACCATGCTTGTACTGAAAAATATGCTCCATCTGCCAAACGAGGCCTGTCATCATAGGCCTCACATGGCAAGCCCATTAATTGGACGAGTTTGCATGCTGTCCGGACCGCTTCTAGTCTGCTGGCCAGAATTTGACACATGGCCAATCGGCTCGAGTCAAAGGAGGACCAAGATAATGGAATATTGTAAATGTGTGAAAATTTGAAGTAAAATAGGTTCAGTAGTTTTTGAGTTACGCACCTGGAAGCACACACACACCACAGATGCGCACTATTGCAATACTTTTCACCTCTCCTTTGGAGAGGCAAGGTTAATTACAATTAACTCAAGAATAATAATTACTGTACATTACAGGCCTTGTATCACTTATCATTCTTAAAATCTATGTGCTCTTAGACTAGTATTATAAAAGTAGATAATAATCTTATCTTGTGATTATTATAACTATATAAGTTATTTTGTTATTATTATTTTTATTAATATTGTTAATTATACAAAAGACTTCAATTATTATAACTATAGTTACTTGTTTATTTAACTTATACATTTTAAGGTGATTCCCATAAATTTTTATTCATATTTGTGTTTCAGGATTGGACTCCACCATCAGAGTACAAAGCTGCACACAAAGAATGTCACAGAGTTGCAGAATATCTGGACACAGAAGCTATTGTTGCAAAGTATGCTTCAAAGCAAACTGTGATGAAAGAGATTCCAAATGCTACGTTGATCCACTTAGGTATGCAGATAATGTACAGTCCTGACAGTTTTTGAAAGTAGAAGATCCACAGATTTCTCACGACCAAACAATGCTACTCCCTGGCCTCACATTTAGATTAAGTTTGTTTAAGCATCATGTGCGTATGTTTGTCTTGTGAAAAGATTGTCACCTACTCATAGGGCACAGTGATATATTCGCTATTGGCAATCCTTGGTGCATGTGTGTGTGAAATTTTTTTTAAATAATTTTTTCAAATTACCAAAGCTGCAGGGCAATACTTGCTCTAGAACACTTTTTAAAATGTAAATTGTCATTTCATTAGCAATCAAAATTCAAGGGACTACTGTGAATGCATAGGAGATGTTGTGGGGAACTGAACCATAATCAGTTTTACACTTGTTCCTTTCATCTTTGGTAATTTTAACCTTATGATAGGATTTGATCAGGACATCATTGCCCCAGATTTTCATTATAACCAGTATAGATCATTTTATCGGGATTATTTTGAAACAGTGCCGCCAATGTCTCACAACTCACTGGGGGACTTCCAGCGGTTTAGCCTGAGCAGCTAGTTACAAATAGAGCACCGCGTAGCGGATCGCGCCACTAGACCTTGTTATAGCAGCAGTAGACAACACATACATGCGCTCATGTTAATTACTCTATATGTAAACATTGAAATAACTTTTTAAGACTTAGACAATTGTTTTTAATAAACATTTTGTTCTTTTTTCATTTCAAAATATTTGTGCTCATTAGTAATTTAGTTTTATCATTTAATTATTCCATGATGGTAACTACGTAGAGTGAAATACTAGGCCTCTGGAAGTCCCTCAGTGGTGGTTGCCAGGTTATTGGGAAATTTGCATTTCAAATTTGGCGAAAATGGTGTATTCATAGTACATTCTTGATATCACATGCTTTCCCCATTATACAACACCCATAGAATGATATTTTAATTTTATAATTTTACATGAAATTTATTTCTATTACTTGCAGCTCTTCCAGGTTGCTGGAAGAAAGGTGCCCTTGCATGTGCTTCTGATAAAACTAGTCTTCCTAATTCAGATGGAGTGTATCCAGAAGAAGCTTACCTTCTAGGTAGAGATGATATTGCGGCGCTCCATCTCAGAGCACAACTGGTAGTCATTAGTGGCTGCTTTGGACATCGCCATCGAAAAGTTGATCTAATGTTACCATCTGCCTTCCTTGCTGCTGGTGCTAAGTGTGTGCTGGTGCTGCTCTGGGCTACACCAGATATTGTGCAGGAGAAATTCTGGTATCATTTTTATATGGCATTACAGAAAGGAAGCTATCTGTCAAAGGCTGTTGAAAAGGCAAAGATGTCAATCAGAAAAGATGCCAGGTAGCATAGAAATATTTATATTCAAAATATATACATAATACTATAAATCATTATAGGTGTTTTATTTTAACTATTTTTTTTTTTCATTATTATATTGCTATCATCATAGAAATAATTATATTCAACACACACACACACACACATATATATATGTATATATATGTATATATATATATATATATATATATAATACTATAAATTATTATAGTTATAATATTTTAACTAATATTTTTTTTTTCATTATTATATTGCTATCATCATAGATATAGCTATCCAGATGGTAATGCCCATTTTGTATGCTTTAAAAACAAATTAAATTCCAAACACCAGTTCTCATTATGCCAATGAGGAAAACCCATATGTTCTGTTTTAAAACAGACATTATATCTATTAATTATTTATGAGCAACAAAATTTGTCTAATTTGCTTTCTTTTAATTACAGGAATATTAACTTGCCTTATTTTCTCACTTAGCGCCTTTGATAATTTTTGAATTGTCGCTTTATAGATATGTGTTATTATTATTATTATTATTATTATTATTATTAAATGTAGCAGTAATTACTGAAAAAAAAATAATCATGCATTACGTGCTCCAATTCACATTTATGTGCAACAAAGTGTTGTCTGTGTTCAGTTTTATATGACTGCATACATGCATCCCTTACATTGAGGGTGACAGGTAAGTCAACAAGGCACAGAATAAAATAATTATTATACTTTAATTAATATTATTTAAATTTGTAGTGGTTAATAATGTTTTGATGATGATTGTTGAGGACAGTTCGCATATGCACATTTTGAAAACATGTATTTGAGCTGGAAAAATATATAATGGCAGGTTAAAATTATAATTATGTATTTGCATTGCAGATTCCAAGATTTGGTGTTCTGGGCTCCATTTGTACTAATCGGCATTGATCAATACATTGATATTAGTATTATCAAACGAGACATGTTAGATCAGCAGTTAAATAGAGTTGAAGGTCAGATTCTTTGCAGTATGCCGTCCGATGCATTGAACCTTAAAACATCAGGTAAGAACTGGGTTTTAACATTTCCACTACCAAAATTTCCCACCTCATATCAAAGCTCCACTATATTCTTGACAATGTTCCAATAAAGAACGAAATGTAGAATCAACTATGGCCTCATGTCTGTCATTTTTCGGAGTCACCATACTCATATTCTATCCACTATATTCAATCATCATAATCCCTTAAACTTTCTTTGGCCATTCCAATGTCTTACTCTGTCGAGGGATGCTCATCCCTCCAACTCTTGGGCAGTGCCAGTGCCAGGGAGGGGGTGCAGAGCTTAAAACCTTCATCAGACAAGCCACACCCTCTATAGGCTGCAGTTCATCTGTTAGAAAAAGGGGAGGTGGAGTTTATTCTTTAAGCAGATAATATTTTAAAGCTGTCTAAAATGGCCTAAATGACCAGTTTCTCTAGGGCCCATGGGCCTAATTGCCTGAACCCCCCCCCCCCAACCAGAGCTTCACTCTCAGACATCCGTCTTCCCCTACGGAAGTTGTGCAGTCCTTATGTGCTTTCTAATATATTTATATTTATTTTTATACTGGAGTAGATTTGCAATAAGGAAGGAAAATTTCATAATTGTACCTTGTATTTTTATGACAATAAAAGATATGTATCTGCCCTCCATTTGGACAATTTTGTTTTAGAGCCACCACTGCTCTCAGCTCATCTGAATTACATAAATTTCTCCTGTGTTACAAACTAATTTGCAAGTTAAGCTTCCCCTGTGCCCCACTGCCAAAGCATTTGATGGTATTTACACAGCCTCTCCTGTCCAGTATTATCTTTCCTACATGCTTGAAATTAATTTGGTGTTGTTTTAGCGTAAGCCCTCATTTCTAAATTGGAAAGCACACATCAGTGATTCACTTTAACAGGTGTAAATTCTGCAGTGTCTAGTGTCAGCTTGTATAATTGTACACTTGTGCGTTGTGCTTTCTGGCTCGTTAAGAAATATTACTCTGCCGAGTGGCCAATATTGATTCTATGAATAAAATATACAAAAATTAAATCTTGAAACTGACTTGAAAATACAATTTTGTAATATTATTCGTAAAGGTCATTAATATATATAGTGCATTAACAAGCGTGTATACATTATTTTTGTGAATAATTCTTATGATAACATATTATATTTATGATTATATATTAATATTGATATAGTTATTGTTATGTTCTTAAGTACTTATTTTATATTAAATATATTAATATGTATACTGTTTGTGAGGAACTTGAAATTTTATTTAATACTTTAATAAGAAATTTATGTATTTTCTTTTATTTTAATTTCTGTGATTTTTTAGGTAAATCATCAAATCCTTAAAATGTTTTTAATTTAAAAGTTATTGATCATTATTTATTGTATCAGGTTATTAATTATTAATTTATTATTGTTGATAATTATATATTTGTAGTTATTTTTTTTGTTTCTTAGGAGTCAGCAAAACTCAGCTTGTAGAGCTGAAGAGTCATCTAGCACAACTGCTCTTACATCATCAGCAACATCCAGATGCTGTCGCTACTGTACAAGGTCTCCTGAAGGAGTGTCAGCAAATCTTTGCACAGCAATCCCCTGCATCATCTGTCCGGCTGCTACCACAATGTGCCGTTGATGCTCCTGCTGCCATCCCCCTGTTGCATCTAGTTGGCTTTCACTTTCAAGCTAGAGGCGTTTCTAACACTGAGCCATATGTGGTATGGCCTCAATGGGATCCCTATGGGCTTCTTGGCCCTGCTCTACAAGCTACTGAGGCCATCATAGGTAAATATAATTTAATTAATTAATTAGATTATTTTCAGGATATAGGTCACGTTATATCCAAATATCATAATCCATATAATATTTTCCCAAGAGTATCAGTAGGTAATCTTAAAAGTTTCAATGCAATTATTTGTTAAACTGTAACATTATTGAATGCTCCCTCAGGGTGCTTAATATTTAGTGCTTATTCAACAACTGGGGCAAAAATGTCGACAGATATTATTATTATTATAAATATTGTTACTATTATTGTAATTATTATTGTAATTATTATTATTATTATTATTATTATTATTCTTATTATTGAATGAAAAGGTTCCGTAATTTTTTGAAATTTATTCAATTTATAGGATCATGGTATAATATAGAAATAAATTCTAAATCATCATAAAGCAATGCTATAATTTTATATAAATTTTTAAAACTTTAAAGAAAAGGAATCTGCAATTGTAAAAACATAGCATCAACTGTGATTTGAACCTGGGACATTCTGTTGTCTATGCAGATGCCTTTTTCAAGTGGCCACTGGGACTTTGTTTTACCATATGGGACTTCGGCCACTGGTGTTTTAATTTGTATCAAAGATTGTTTGATGGGTACATAATAGCTTAAATGAATTTTTGAGGATCAAAGAATGTATATCTTTATATCTTTAAACTTTACTGAATGATATATGTCCCTCCTCATGTCCCATCATCTTACAAACATTCCATGCGAGGTAATTACCTGGAAACATTTATCAAAAAATGCCTCTCCAGTTCGCACCACCATCTGTCTTTGGTAACTCAAGCTGTTCACTTCTTGAATCTTAAATAGGTCAACGACTTGAATATGTAGCAAATTTTAAACTTTATTTCGTTAGTAATTGTTATGAATAGCATTTATTTTATTTTTTAATATGTGTACCAATAATTGACACTTGTTTGTCTTTCTGTCGAAAGATATTGTCATTAATGTGCTTGCCTCCCAATCCCAGGGTCCTGGGTTCAATTCCTGTAATGGTAACAGGAAATTTTCTCACAACCAAAAACAACTCCACTCAATAACGATAAATTGACACTTGAATGATAATATTGAGAATAATCAATTGATAAGCCCAGGGCAAGCAGTGCAAGTGCTATGATTGTTCGCCTGTGCTACTTTCATTTTACGAATTTGTAAGAAAATCAGTTTATTCTTGTATGAAAAGGATATACAGTATGCATCTGAAAACAGCCTAGTTAAAGATGTTGTTAAGTCAGTGTTAAAATACTCGACTATGTTTTCAAATTGTAATACACTTTTGTATTGAGCAGGTTTTATTGCTGTATACAGTTTGTAACATTGCTTTCCTTTTCGATTTTTTAATGGAGAAATTCCAAAATAAAGTTTATTGATTAGCTCAGAAATTGGATCAAATAATTGTAACAATTACTTAGCTTTGTGGACTAGTAATCAGCACATTGGTTTTTTACCCTACCAGGTTCTTATTTGAGACAACCATAGGTACGGTAAAGTGCCTTGCCCAAAGACATAAGCAAAATGCACAGCGAGGGGTTTGAACCCAACTTTAAGATTGAGAGCCCAATTCACAATCACATTTTAGCACTACTATTAATATTATTATAATGATAGTGTAGTAAAATTGTAACGCAAGACAAGAATCTGTTGTTTTATAATATATCAATAAAAATAAAAGCTCTCTATATTCTTGAATACCCTACATGAATACCGTATATTATTAATTATTATCATTAATACTGTATATTAAAAAATATAGGGTGAATATAATTCATCTATTTATTTATTTATTTATTTATTCTGCCTTTAACGTGATAACACTTTCAGTGACGCAGCACTGATCTCACTAGTGGATCACATGAACAAAAAAGTAGAACAAAAATAAACATAAAAAAAATATACAGAAACTTAACTAAAATAAAAAAGAACCAATTCAAATGAATTAAAAAGAAGGCAAGAGAACAGAGGGTGGTCAGAAAGATATAATTAGTTTTCTGTTTTGATCAAA